AAAATCGGGAAAAAAGCGGAATCGAAAAAGATACAAAGGCGAGGGTCAGGGTAAGGATCTCTACAGAGACGAGATGAGAAGGAAAAGAACGGAAGGAAGCGACTCCCGTGGCACTGGTTTTCTAATTACGTGGAACCCCCAGTTTCCAAATTTACGGTCAAAAGTACCATAGAATCCAAATTGTCACCCGGCTTGTTCAAAAATAAAATTCAGTTAGATCCCTAAAATAATTTTACTCCTTTTTATTATTATTATTATTATTATTATTATTTCTATTTAATTAAATTAAACTAAAATTAAAACTATATAAAAATTCATATATTCATATATAAATTACAAAAAATCAAAATAAAATAATACTAATAATAATAATAATAATTTGGGGTGTTACAATTAAAGGCAACGCAATGCGATGAAAAACCCTCTTGTTCTTTTATTTCTAGATTGGTAAGATGATTGCCAATGGAAATGAGGGGAATAAGCTTCATCCCGGATTACATGCTCTAATTCCATCCAACACGGATAATTCATCCACTATTGCATCACAAGCCACCAAGACAAATTAAGGAGGGACAGAGTTGAAACCTTTTAGCGTCAACACAGCACATGAGGAAATGTTTGGAGGATTTACTCTTTTGCAAGCACGCAGGGGCTGTTGAAATTACCATGCCTTCTCTGGTTATCAAAAGTGAGGATTCTGCACAAACATCTGAGCAAGCAAGGGAAGCAATGCAGGGTGTTTTTCCTTCAAAATCTGCTCCAACATGAACTTAAAGTCGATATAAGCTTGGGAAAGCAGGGTATGGTAAAAGGAGCTTAGAAATCATTTCTATGAAGGGCCATAGGGTAAGTTGGCATGCATAATGGTGAAACGACAGATTAGGACTGCCAACAGAGAAACAATATAAGGATATTCACGTGTCAGTTGGGAGTGCAGAAGTGCTTGATGGGCTTTAGAAAATTACTTAATGCAAACCTGAAATTGACAGGTTCTGGTTTAGATTAACTAGGTTTTGTTAGAATTAAGTGAATCTATTCTATATGCACAATGGTCAAATTTGTTTTGGGTTATGGGGTTTGGCATGGTTATGGAGGCTGTGGTGTCTTTGCCACCATCCAACCGCATTTAGTAATCCCTATCTCTACACAAGCTACCAACTCAATCCTTCATTTCCAGCTCACCTCTACTGTGTACCATTGTATTTGAAGTATGAAGAGGTTGAAGATGCGTAACTCCTTCAACATTATCTTTGCTGTATGATTGTGCCTATCAAGATCTCTTTGGAGCTGTTGAGGATATATTTCATTGTATAAAAGCACTATGAAGATCTCTTTTGAGCTGTCTGATGGTACAAAAACAGTTGAACTTTTGAATATTATATGCAGCAAGATACTTTTAAGTAAAAGAAGAAACCAGCAGTTTAGAATTCTATCACATATTGCATGTAGTATCCTCTCTTTTCCCATTGCATGTAGTATCAGTTCAAGTCGCCACCATAGTGGTATTTTGTTTACTGTTTGATCATGTATTTTGGTGATATTCAACATTTTCTTCAGAGCCTATTAATGCAATTTAGTTGCAACAATGCTCGTATGAAGTTGAATTGTTAGGTCTATGTTAATGGCTGTAAGTTGCCTTTTTTCTTTAGTTATTCTGGCGTACAAGAAACCTTGGCTATTTTCTCGAGGCAATCATGGTTTTGGAGTTTGGCTTGACTATCAGAAGGTAAAAAATGCATCTGCTTCTTAACTCCTATTGTTTTCTATCATATAATTATGTTTAAGTTTGATGCAGTGTAGGCATTGGTACTTATCCCCATGCAACCCTATTTGTAAAAATTAGGAAAGTTATATTGATTAATAAAACATGTGATTATTTTGTTGCGTTTATGACCTTATTGTGTGCAGTACTGCTGCTACATGTTTCATACCTTTTTATCTGCTCATTTTTTTTTGTCTTTTTTTTTAAATAAGAAGAGCAGGGGGGAATTGACTATATTTATGTCCTCTCTAAACATTATTTTATTAATCTTCAAGTTCTTACATAAGTGCATGTGAACAATTTGGCAGATGTATATGGCGGTACAAGATCTTATTGTTGCACTTGTATTCGCATATTGGTGCCCTTTCATTGGCATATGAATGGTAAGGTTGTTCTGATCCCATATGAGCTTATCTTTTTTATTTTTTCTGATTCTTGTTTCTTTATTATGTTTTCGTTTCTTAATTTTGCATCCCTTGTCTTTACGTTTAAAAGTTGCTTATCTACTGTTTAGGTATAAAGCACTGGATGTGAAGAATATCTTGATGGAGACGGTTTCTCACCACATTCTACCACAGATGTTGGTTTCCCCACTATGGGCGGATCTGAGCAATCTGCTAAAAGATTATCTGAAGTTTATGGATGATCATTTTAGAGAATCCGCAGACCTTACATTTCTTGCTTATCGTCATAGGAATTACTCAAAAGTACGTAACTTGTTCCAATATTTATTATGCACTTGTTGGATAGATAAGTAATCTAAGATTATTGTCAGCAATATTTCCTTTGTGCACTATTATGCAGCTGCGAATTTTGTAAACTAACAACTTTTATCAATTAAAAAATTTCGGTAAAACTTTTTAGGCGGTCCTTGTTTGTTGTTTTGGACTGCCTACTGTAAATGGTTCTTAAGCTGGGTATTATTAAGCAATCAGGTGTGAAACTGGTGATTTTCAACTTAAGTGATTCTTTTTCAAGTTTAAGTTGGTTTTTATCATAACCATGTCTTGATGTTTTGATGTTCTGTGACTAATGCAAGTCTAAAATGTGATATTAAAAAAGTAGAACTGCTGATTTCCAATGATCGATTGTGAGGGGCTATTATTCTTTCCTTTCAAATTTGAACCACCTTATTGCTGCAGCCTTGAATTCCTTGTATCAACAAATTTCCATCAGAGGCGTAAGGCAGTCAACCATAGATGCTTAGTCATTAGAGGAAGGAGGTCATTCCTTTCTGCTTAGTACTTCAGTGTTCAGTAGAGTCTTCATTCATGTTATTTTCTTGGGAAGAAAGGGAGCTTTGTGGTCTTTTCTAATCCTCAGTGAGACTGAGAATGCCTCAAACCTAGACTAATTTATATGTTCATGTAAGAAATATGATCATTTCTTTCTGGCAGAGAGGAGGAAACTCGTGTGCTAGCTTTTTGGCAATCATTAAGTATTTGGATATGGAACAAAAATTTGGCGTTCATCTTGAAGGTCCCTAAGAAATTGAATGGCTAGAATTGCTTTGCTAACTTTGCTGAGTGAACATAGTCTAGCTTTTAGGCAGGGTCTTCTGTTGGCAAGGAAACTCACAGTTGAGTTCTTGTGGCAAAAAGGTGAATGAGTTATTAGGATTTTCGATGGTGGTTAGAAAGTGTGGTTCTGACAAGGCTCTTGTTAATTTCGACCTATTATTACCACCAAAGAGAGAGCTGGAGATGTTAACGGTGGTTTGCAATTAGTGGAGATTGATGAGGATGAGGGTTTTAATAATGATGGATCGAATTTGATTTTATAAGTAGGGGCTTGGAAAACACTTGTCATGAACCGCATGGTTGAAATTTTTTTTATTTAATTATTTAGTTGTGTAATTGTGTTACTTAGTTATGTAGTAAACTCCAAGGATTAGGAAAGCTATGAAAGTTTTAATGAAAAATATTTTAAGTTCATGTGGACATGAGAACTCAATTACTTCCAAATCCCAATAGGACGAGTTAATATTCCTCTGTGGTCACGGTGCTTTGGTGTAGGATCAGAATAAAGATCAAAATACTGAATTGAGGATGACAAGAAGAAATTTTAGAAAATAATTTATACTTTTTCTTCATAAATCAAAGGATTCTCTCTAGCAAGCTCTTTTCATTATTTCATAATATGTCAAAGGGAAGAATCTCAATAAGAGAGGAAGTTCGTCATTGAACTTCTGCATTGCACGAACCCATATATGAATCCAAAAGGAGAAGGCTGTTAGTATAACGGATTCTAATTGGTTTTTATGAAGGCCAGTTGCAGCCCATCAATTGCACAAGAGACTGCACTTTTCTTAAAGGTAGGATGTGGGAATTTGCACAAAGGTAGATGATATTTTTTTTGAAAGAAAATATCATCTATTCACAAGCACCAAGGAGGTGCCATATACAAAGTTTACATGTCATGCAAAATATTTACAAAGTGTCTTTAAGTTTATCAAGATTAGATTCAATCTCCTCTGGAGCTCTTCTATTTCTTTCATTTCAGATAACCTAAAATGTAGCTGAAGGAATAAGACTTGGAGATCTCTTATCCCTAGAAGCTCGATTCCATGTATAATCTCATCTCTCACAGAATTAGTCATCACCCAATTAATGGCCATCAAATCACAGGTTAAGATTCACAAATGGTACTCAAAAGAACACCAGAACAAGATATAGTTACGTGAATCTGCATTTCTCTTGCATAGGTAGCAGCCGTTTATCAATATCTTCCTCCTAATAAGCTTATCCAAGGTTAAAATACATTCTCTAGTAGCCTCCCAAGTAAAAAACGCCTTTTTGGGTGTCGCCTTTACCTTCTAGAGCAGCTTTGCAGCAATTTTATAGTAATTTCAATCTTTTAGCCAGATGCAGATAAAAGATTTTAACAATAAAAAGTCCTTTGGAGTTGAGCTTCCAAATAACAGAGTCTTTGTCCTCATTAGGAGTATATTTTGATAAAACCATCAAAAGAGATTCGTACTCGCAAGTATCTTAATCATTAAGGTTCCTTGAAACCTCCACAATCCATGAACTATTCCCCCCAAAAATCTGGGAAAAATGCGATTTGAGCGCCCCACAATCTAGCCACTCATGCCAGAATTTCACTCTCTGACTCGATGCAACCCTCCACTTAATACATTTCCTGAACTCCTTACTGTTTGAACATATCTTCTTCCACAACTCAACATTGCCCAGGAGGAAGCCTAGTATACCAACCCATGCCCTCCACGCCAATTTTAGCACATGTTGCTCTCCTCCACAAATTTTCGTTCTCTAGCATCAACCTCCACAATCATTTCCCTTGAAGCGCCATATTAATCTCAACCAAAATTCTCAAGCCCAAACTAGCATGTTAAATCCGTTGTTTGATCGCATTCAAAGCAACTAAATGGTATCTTCTCCTCTCCTCATAGTCTCCTCATAAGAACATGCAGTAGATGGACTTTAGCTTCCAACAGTAACATGCATTATCATCAAAGACGTATAATAGATGAGATATTGGTCTAGTGCTTTTGATGAGGGTCAGTTTTCCCCCATTCGATAATAGATTTGTCTTCCAATTAGATAAGTGGGATTTAAACTTTGTTATCATGGTCCCACGTTGAAACATCCTTGTATTTTGCTCGTAGAGATATCCCTTAGTATTTGATGAGGAGGTCAGTTTACTTGCATCCCAAAGTTCTGGCCAAAGTTCTGGTACCACTATTATCTCTCAAATTCACCTGGCAGACTCTGTTACATTAACATTAAGCCCAAAAATTTGATTGAAAGCTCAGAAAAAGATACTCGATATTTAGAAAAGCCCTAACATTTGATACGCAAAATAGTAATGTATCATTAGCAAAAACAGATATGTCATTTCTTCTGTTCCACCACATCTCTCTCAATTAAGCCCCTAAATATCCCAAGATCTCTGACCTTCTTTAGTATTTTCTTCAAAGATTTCATAACAATGATAAAGAGAAAGAGATAGGGGGTCTCTTTGCCTAAGATCTCTATAGGCTTTGAGAAAAAGAAGATGGTCTCTCTTTCAATAAAACTGCAAAAAAGGCAGAAGAAATACAAGAGATAATCCACTTGGACCATTTAGCCATAAAATCCATTCTATCCAAGACGTAGCTCAAAAAAATCCCACTTCACATAGTCGTATGCCTTTTCTATGGCAAGCT